TGTCGACATACGCACAAACCCACTGAGATAGAGATAGATAAATAGATATCAAAAGAAAGAAAGAGGAGAGAAAGAGAGAGAGAGAGAGAGAGAGAGAGAGAGAAGAGAGAGAGAGAAAGAGGAGAGAGAGTGAAAGAGGAGAGAGAGAAAGAGGAGAGAGAGAGAAAGAGGAGAGAGAGAGAAAAAGGAAAGAGAGAAAGAGGAGAGAGAGAGAGTGAGAGAGAGAGAGAGAAAGAGACAAACAGACAGCCAGACAGACAGCCAGACAGACAGACAGACAGACAGACAGACAGAGAGAAGACCGGGGTGGTGTAGTGTGATGGAGTTGGAAGAAAGAGCCTCCACAGAATACTTCATGTCAAAACCGACACCAGTGAGGAAATGTTTCATGTTTAGTTTCAGTAAGAATTTTACGGCACTTGCAACACAATAAGTTCATACAAGTGCCGAAGATTAGAAGTTTTACAAGAGAGTGACAAACCCCTAAAAAAGAAGAAGGAGAGATAAGGACGATAGATGTTTGATGGGAAAGAAGGAGCAAACCACACCAGAGCACCCGCCAACCACCTAGTGAGGAAATAATAAGTCTAGCGACAAATCCCCCTTTGTTTACCCGCCGTGGTTCTTGTTGTCAAGGGATACGTAGGTCTATAACAGACACACACACACACACACACACACACACACACACACACACACACACACACACACTCGGGTTACGTAGCTATATTCCATCCCACGGACATAACCCATAACCACATCCGGGGGAGAGTCAGAGAGTGTCAGAGACAAAGAGACAGAGAGAGAGAGTGTCAGAGAGTGGCGCTGTTTTGGGCAGACGGCAGTGTCTCATTAAGTGACGTCACTATAGTCACCTAGCTGGTTGTTTAGTCGGTCGCTACGCCGCTGAGCGAGAGGTGGTAGTCAGTAATTATTTAGTTATTTCTAGGTGTTGTGGGCAAGGGGAGTTGTTGAGAAATATGGGGATGTATGGAAGAGATCGCATGATTTGCAACACAATATAGTCATAGAAGTGCCGAAGATTAGAGGTCTTACAAGCCAGTTTTTAGTTTAAGTAAGAGTTTTACGGCACTTGCAACACAACAAGGTCACAGAAGTGCCGAAGATTAGAGGTGTTACAAGAGAGTTTTTAGTTTTAGGAAGAGTTTTATGCCACTTGCAACACAATATGGTCATATAAGTGCCGAAAATTAGAGGTGTTACAATAAGAGTAACAAACACAAAAAAGAAGGGGAGGGAGATAAGGACGATAGA